AGCCGTCCAGGGAGCCTACGAGCAAGGGAAGTATACCGTTGATGACGTTGTCGGCGCGTATCAGTACTTTAATCTTCACCACGATGATCCAAACCTCACTGAGGATAGCATCATTGGCAAATTTTATGCCTTCCTCAGCTCTACGACTCAAGATACCCAAGCGCGTCAGCAACTATGGCGGATTGGCGATTCCAGGGGAAGCGCGCGCATCAAAGCAGCATCAGAAGATCGTGTGTTAATCCAGTCATTTTGTCTACACACTCGAATGCGTGCTAATTTTGACAATAGGCGTTTCTACTGTTGAACAAGCAAATGTCTTTTTGGGGGTGGAGGATAATACGCCAGATGATTTTGTCATGACTATGTATACTGCAAAGGTGTGTTTCCCGATCGCTTTATTGGTGACTTGGACGCAAGCTGACATTGTTATCAATTAGGTCAATGACAATCCGCTTACAAAAGAACTTGCGAAACGCGCCGTAGCACTCATTGCCGAGTCTCGCAAATCGGTCGCGTTGAACCATTTCATCGATACCGGAGAGATGATTGCTGGTGAAATGGACATTGGCGATGCCTATCGTCTACTCCAAATCCCCGATGGAACTGCCGACGATGGGGCAATCATAGCCGCGTATACAATCTGCGTCGATGAAAACCCCGGGGATGCCGAAAGGTACAACCAGGCTCTGACAATTATTGCCAAACAACTGGACAGCTCTACGTTGAGAAATATGGCAGGTATCTCCAATGAGCCTGATAGAAGCATGCAAGATTGGCCAGTCGGACTACAAAACATTGGCAATACATGCTATCTCAACAGCCTGTTGCAGTTCTATTTCTCCGTCCGTCCTTTCCGTGAGTTGGTCTTGGATTTTGAGCGCTTCCAGATGGATCTTGATGATGAGGAAAACCTCGCAAAGAAACAAGTGGGCTCTCGGAAGGTGACGAAGAGAGAGGTTGAGCGATCTCAGCGATGTGAGTTACTGTCCGTCCCGATGGCTATATCTCCCAAACTGACCATTTCCTTTGCAGTCCTTGATGAGCTTCGGACTTTATTCCGTAGCATGATCACCTCATCCCAAATCTCGGTGACTCCCGGCCAAGAACTTGCTCGGCTGACCCTGATTAGTCCAAGCAACGAAGCGGCAATACGTCGTCGATCGACGATCACTGCTAATAGGCCCGAAATTCTTGGTGACATCAACGGTGCTCCTGTTCTGGGGCCTCTTGGGCCTCCACAGCCCCTTCTCGGGGGTCGGATGGAGCCGATTTCATCATCTAACGAAGCTGATCCCGTATCTACTCAAAACTCGACCAGCAGCGATCATGGCAGTGACGCAACATTGGTCTCAGATAATAGCATGAATGATGCACCTGCACTCTTTGTTGAGAACAAGGAGAACAATCCCCCGGACATGGATCAACTGTCGGACCAAGCAGAGGCAGGATCTGACCAGGACATGAATATCGACGTAGACGACGGTGTACAGGCCAACCTGCCGCCACCCGTCCCACCTCGCAACCCCCCGCAAGTTGACCGGGAAAAGCAATTGAAAGAGGAGGTAGAAATCGGTGCCCAGCAGGATGTAACAGAAGTCATCAACAATGTTCTGTTCCAGAGCCAGTGCGCCATCAAGCCTCGGGGTATTGGCAGCGATGGTGAACAGCTTGACCAGATCAAAGAGTAAGTTATGAACAGGCGACCACTAAAGTACCTATGTTAACCATTTTATCAGCTTGTTCTACGGCCAAACCCGATCTTACATCTCCACCGAGAAAGGCACACGTTCGAAGGACGAACGGTGGTGTGACATCAAAGTCGATGTTGCTCATGGATCTCGAAACATCTACGATGCCATCGATGGGGCATTTGATATCCAAAAGATTAGTGTGGACAATGCTGTAGCTGAACAATTTGCTTCCATCAGCCAGCTTCCACCTGTTCTCCAGATCCAGGTGCAACGGGTTCAATTTGACCCTGTGAAGAAATGCTCGTTCAAATCTACAAACCATCTCGGGTTGCTTGAAACCATCTACATGGATCGATACATGGACACCAAGAACCCGGATGTTGTGGATCGACGAAATCAGTGTTGGGAGTGGAAGGCGTCTCTGAAAACGCTCGAGGCCCGCCGCGAAGTGCTTCTCAGGACAAAGGTATCAAATATTCTCAACCCACGTGCCGTAGGTCTACAAAGCTAACCTTTTTTTTTCTGCAGGAGGCTACCGGCGTTGACATGGCAACATTGTTCCGTAGAGTCAAAACCGCACTACAAGATGTGGACTCCATTGAAAATGATATTGAGACCGAAGCCGGAGACGGATCCGATTCTACGAATGCTGTGGCTGGTGCGGAGTTACTGGACGAACTCGAGTGCCTTGCCCATAGGGCAGAGAACGACCTGCAAGGTAGGAGCTCTAGCATTACGACTTCACTTGAAACAGGCATATTAACTCTTTATAGCCATCGATCAAGAAATCAAAGATACGAAGACCATGATTTCCAGCCAATTTGCCGATTTCCATAACCTCCCATATCGACTGTACGCCGTTTTTGTGCATCATGGGTCGGTGTCATTCGGCCATTACTATATCTACATCTTCGACTTTGACAAGAAGATATGGCGCAAATACAATGACGAGTACGTCACCGAGGTCCAGAACGTGGATGAGATCTTCGAGAACGGCTCGACCAGCAACCCTCCGACCCCATATTTCCTTGTTTATGTCAACGATGGCATGAAAGACCGTCTGGCAAACCCGGTCTGCCGTGAGGTATCCGACAACATGAGCGACCTTCCCAGTCTGGAACTAGCCACCAATATGGAGGGTGTGCAGCCCACCAACCCTGGGCCGGAAGTGAATATGGAACCTCCATCCTACGAGGAAGCGTCAGCCATCAATGGAACTCCAGGTACGGGAAATACAGAATCCACCGACGCGAAGACCACAGCATGGCCCCGTCCTCGTCCTGCGGCTGACTCGGAACAGAATTGGTAGATTCCGATGTCACGCCCGTCGATGCGGCAGCTGTCAACCCTTTGAAACGCAAGAGTGTTGATGCCGAAGTGAAACCAACCCGTCCCTAATTTTTTACACTGTGTGGCACCCACGTGGACAGCATGATAACATGATTGCATGATTTCTCGATTCTCTTATGTCTACACGTGGATATTACTGCATTGCGAGGTGTGAAACTTTTTTATCCAGCTTGTACATACGCTGAAGATACCATGGAATACTTGTAGAGTTAAGATAGTTGCAATTGATCTTCTCTTGATATTTTAAGATACCAAGAAACAGATTACTTTAATTTATGCTGGCTAATCAAGAAGTTGGCGGAAATGTGTCTATGGACTAGTGCTCTTGAGAGATGATGATAAGGGGAGAGAGTGTGGAGTTAAAACTGATTGCAATATGCCTGTAGAGGGTGTACAGTTCATTCGACAACGCGTACGTATTGGCCAAACTGACCCTAAAGATAACTAACAAATGACATTCTCTGTCTCCGAAAAATCACAGATGGTTTCTTCACTCCGTTTGAGACTAATCCCACCCGACGGTTCCATGTGACTTCAACCTGTGATATCCAGCTAGCTTCTCAGGCAAATATTCTCAAGAAGCAGGACAAACAGCGTTATCGCAGGATTCAGAGCTGACATAGTTGATTGTCAACTCCCCAGTGCTGACATCATTCCCTGGCTGGGTTGGGTCACTTCCACAGACCTTGCAGCCGTGATTCGCAATGTTGTTGATATGTCCGAGAGCATCGTTGAGGTTGCCGCTTGCACCAGATTGGTAAAAGGCACAATACTGGCCAGCGCATGCAATTTGTTCTAAAATAGTAGGTTAGTATGGACACAGGGATATCTTTTCCATTCTGTAGGTGGGTACATACTGCCTTCACTGTAAAAATCACCGCCGGCACCGCCACTAACTGCTTTTAGCACCGAATTTTGTATTCTGGAGACTATTGGGCCTGCATCCCCATGGCAAAACCAGCTGCCGCGGCAGTTGATTCCAAGGGCAAGTGCCATTGGAGGAAGAGCTAGAGCTTGAATAATGAGAGAAGGTAGCTGCATGATGAAGTTGGTAATGTTGTCCAAATGTGAGGTAGATTTCGATGATTTGGCTTGTAAGGGAGAATTTCAAGTAGGGTTGATGCTTTCCTATTTATCTTCGAAGCCACACTTGATCGTTCTTTCACTTTCCATATATAGATGTGCCCGGTCACCTAGGTATATCCAATCAGACAAAGTATGGCTGAAATAATAAAAAGCTTAGCACGCCTAATCAAGCTTTGCGGACAATAACGTCCCGGTCACAAAACCAATTAGTTGTCTGGTCTTTTGATTTTATCCAATCAACTTTCAAATAGTGCCTGATAGAATAAAACAATGGCGGATCTAAGAAGCTGCATATAGACCTTAGGCGTCCCTTTATTAGGCATCCCTTTATCCGGAATATCCGGCTAGGGCTTGAGTATAGTAGCTGAAGTCATACTAACTCTCTATCTCTAGTCATTAGTTCTCTCCTATATGAGCGAAAAGCATGGAAGGATCATTCAAGCTTCATTTGACGGAGAAAAATTGGTTCTGCGATATTCTCAACTATGGAGCTTCGAGAATGAGGATATAGCACCAGTGGAACCCTTCATACGCTACAAGCTAAGCCAGCTAGTTGGGTTGGAGAGATCGGACGCTTGTGTTCGAGCACTTGCGGTTGCATTGATTGACTTAGAATGTCTAATTGCCAGGAGGGAGACTACGTGGTGTACGTGGAAGTATATGGTGCAAACGAGAGATTGATATTGAGTAATTGAAGAAAGTAACTTACAGAAGCTAATGAAGAAACAAAAAGTCCGACACTAATATCAATTGTCCAGCTCAGTGAAATGAAAGATATCCGGTACCAATGAGATATATAATGGGGTGTCGAAATAGACGTGTGGGTTGTCTGGCAGGTCAAGCTACACCCCATGATAGCTAACTAGCAAATTTCTACAAGTTCGTCTCCTCTTGGTCGATCCCAGTAGTCATACGTGTGGCCCAGGTGTTATAGGATGAGAGCATGATGGTGTGGCCCGAGGAGACTTTGCTGGTAGGGCAGCGCATGAAGGCTTCAACCTGAGGGAGAGACTCGAGCATAATCAGCTTGCGCTCGGAATATTCAGTGCGGGCTTTAGTACCATAGAACAGCCGGATAGTCAGGGCGTCACCGAAGTGCCGCTCGATCTCTAAGAGCCATGTGTCGATGAGTGCCGAGGGCACTAAGACGAGGGTGGGCCGGTAGGGAGGCCGAAACTGGGAAAGTGCTGCCTGGTAGATCGGCATGAGTGCGGTTTGTGTCTTCCCTAGGCCGCACGCATCTGCAAGGATACCGCCATGGAGTGGGCTGGCCTCTTGTTGGAGCATCTAGGATACTCCTGTGACCTGATAGGGTTTTAGAATCGTAGGGGAGACCGCATATGAAGAGGTTGGGACTAGAACAGGCTGCCCTTATGATTTTTCAGAAAGTCCAGCATGCTGTAAACCCGTATCAAAGGGATACGTAAGACAATCGAGGGAAACATCACGGGCGGAAGCCAGAGCTTCTGGGTCGGCTAATTGAATAGGCTGGTCATCAACAGAACCAGTTTTGCCGTCAAGAGAACTCGTATATATGTATCGTGACACAAAGAGGCTGAGCTACTAACGCCGAGCTCGAAGAGATAGCGGTCTGTAAACACTGGTTCAGCTGTAGGCTTAGAGGAATCCTATCAGGAGTTGCACGAAGGACCGACTTGGCAAAGAACGCTAAATCGCAGACGTTGCTATAGAGCGCGCACGTCTGCAAGTATAAGAGGTGCACGGTTCAAACGTAAGGCACTTGGCTATAGGAGTTATATAGTGAGTCCAATTACCAGGCCGCGGAACTCAGAATCAAAAGGGACAGTCTCCATAGAGCTAGTCGGCGGTTCTTCATCAGTATAGTTGTCTTGTGGAGTAGAGAGGTCCGGGGAGATGATGAGAGGAGGGCACTGGCATATTTCGCCAAATGGTTAACCGCAATGAGAACGAGAGAATTACGGATAGAGCGTAGACGTGGAGGGGCCTGCGTCGAGCTCGATAAACCAAACTTGGTGTCGCGGTCACGATGAAACTCGATAATTATATCACGAGTATCAGGGCAGTCGGCAGTGATAAGACGGGTGATATTGTTGGTATCAAGGTAGCCAACGATACCTGCAAGAACGGGAGCGGAATCATCCATGCGGCGGATAGTGGCTGTCAAGAGATCGATAGTGCCAACGTTCGTATATAGAAGAAGCGTTTAACGTGACTCACAAACCAGCCAAAGGGCAACTTTCGGACCTCGGTCAAAGGCGAAAGATCAGTACTATGATAGTCAGTGAGTGGCAAAAGACCTCAAACGGCGGGGGAAATAGAGAAGAAGGTGTGCAAGGGACGACAGGAGCTTAAGTACCTGCTAGGTAAAAAGTTACTAATGCCATATCAATAGGTTAGAGGCAAGGAAGTTTGTGGAAAATACAGAAGAAGTTTTGCTGGAGGGTAATAGCTGCTTAAATATCTCGATGATTGAGAAGTATTTGTATGAGAAGGGAAGATCACTGAAAATCAAATGGTTTCTGACCGTAGTTAGAATGTGTAGGCTCAAGGGGGATGTAGTTATATAGTATACAATAAAAAGTGAGGATTCTAAGTTAGAAGCTTAGACGTTATGGAGTAAAATGTGCAAGTTAAGCACGAGACATGCATCGTGGGCTAGGCAGTCCATATATACAGTGATTAGATTGTCATTGCGGACCATATACCGCTGTACTTCGGATTATATAGTACTATATAATACTATAGCCACTGGTGAAGCCTAGGCCTAGGATCGTGATCACGATGTATAAAGGAACAAGTTAAGCCCTGGAGTTTTGATATTGGGCTTGTAGGAAGCTGACTCAGCACTGCCGATTCCCCACTTGGGTAAGCCGCGGGATCGGATACAGATCGGCTGTAGATTTCGGCAGCGGCAATAAAGAGATGTCAGTCTGTTTAGATCGATTTTAAAGATAATAAGTAGCAAAAAAAAAATATATATATATAGAAGGCACCTATGTAGGATTTCATATTACTTGGTCTAGTATATCTTCAATAGTTAATCGGTTAAATGTATTGAAATCGGGGTAGTTCATAGTAGGTGGAAATGGCCGGGAATCCACATTTCCGGGGAAAACGAATATCACTCGGGAATGGTACCGCTCTCACTGCCGCTCGGGAATATAAGAAGTGGCTATTGCCGCTGCCACAGGGCATTTATTCGATTATCTTATAACCTGTACACTTGAGATATTTGGCACTGTTCTTTATTAAATCCCCCGCTATGCCTTCTCAAGTGGCAACATGTCTGCGCTTCGCGCGTCAGTTCTCTGCCAACCCTATTCAGGTAAGTGATTTGCGAAATAGCTCATATCGCTCATATCACTTTTCAAGTGGCGGAGACTGACATGTCTTATCTTTTACCAGCACCAACGTTTCATCGCCCGCGCATTCTCTAGCAGCGTTCGCCGAAATGAGATTAATAAGGTGTACCCCTCAGCGGAGGTGGCAGTTAGAGACATGAAGTCCAACTCGACTTTGCTCGCTGGTGGATTCGGGTTGTCCGGTGTACCTGACTCGCTGATCAACGCTGTTCTATCGACCCCCTCTATCACTGGCCTGACTGTGGCTAGTAACAACGCCGGTGTGGACGGAGCTGGTCTCGGTCTACTCCTCCAGTCCAAGCAGATCAAGAAGATGATTGCTTCCTACGTCGGCGAGAACAAGACTTTTGAGCGCATGTACCTGACTGGTGAGATCGAGTTGGAACTCACTCCTCAGGGAACTCTCGCTGAGAGGTGCCGTTCCGGTGGTGCGGGGATCCCCGCATTCTACACACCCGCCGCTTTTGGTACTGTGGTGCAGACCGGTGCGGTGCCCCTGCGACACAACCCTGACGGTACAGTTGCGTTGTTCAGCGAGCCCCGCGACACTAAGGTGTTCGATGGCAAGAGCTATGTCATGGAGGAGGCTATTAAGGGTGACTACGCTTTCGTCAAGGCCTGGAAGGCCGACAAGCTTGGTAACTGCCAGTTCCGCTATGCGGCCGCCAACTTCAACGGCGCCATGGGCCGTAACGCCAAGATGACCATCGTTGAGGCTGAGCACATCGTTGAGCCCGGCGAGATCGAGCCCGCTGCCATCCACCTGCCTGGTATCTACGTCAAGCGTGTCATTCAGAGCACTGCCCCCAAGAATATCGAGAAATTCACCTTCGCTAAGGAGGAGGGCGCTGATACCTCTGCCCTCGGAAAGGGTGAGACCGCCAACAAGCGCGAGCGTATCGTCCGCCGTGCTGCTAAGGAGTTCAAGAACGGCATGTACGCCAACCTCGGTATTGGTATGCCCATGCTTGCTCCCAACTTCGTTGACCCCTCCGTCGAGGTGACCCTGCAGTCTGAGAACGGTATTCTCGGTCTCGGCCCTTACCCCAAGCAGGGCGAGGAGGACGCCGATCTCATCAACGCCGGCAAGGAGACTGTCACTCTTAAGCCCGGTGCCAGCTGCTTCGGCAGCGAAGAGTCCTTTGGCATGATCCGCTCCGGCCGTATCGACTTGACCATCCTAGGTGCCATGCAGGTCAGCGCCAAGGGTGACTTGGCTAACTGTACGTTTTTCTCTGCTTCCCTCTTTTTATAAATATAACTAACATTCTCTCGCAGGGATGCTCCCTGGTAAGATCAAGGGCTTCGGCGGTGCCATGGACTTGGTCTCCAACCCCTCCGCCACCAAGGTCGTCGTGACCATGGAACACACCGACAAGAAGGGTAACCCTAAGATTGTCAAGAACTGCGAGTTCCCTCTGACCGGCCCTGCCTGTGTCAGCCGTATCATCACTGAGCTCTGCGTCTTTGACGTTGACTTCTCTCACGGCCTGACTCTTGTTGAGATCGCGGACGGTGTCACCGTCGAGGAGGTCAAGGCTAAGACTGAGGCCCCCTTCAAGGTCGCTGATGACCTGAAGCCTATGCTGTAAATTTGCATTGACTTTATGATTCTTCAAGCGTTTTGTATATAGTAATTAGGAGTTACATTGTTTCAAAATTCATACCCGTGAACATATCCTGGATATGCATCAAGAAGAACATCCTTTGAATAAAATTTCGTACATTTGATCAGAAAATATAGTGAGTATACAATTAAAAAGATAAAAGAAAAGGTATTGGTACATGTCATGCAATCCATCAAAATAAAACCCCATAATGCTCACCCAAGCCCAACGAAACAATGATCAAATCAAGTTTTCCCAAGTTTTCCAACGTCAAAAAACCAAAAGTCTATACATATAGCAAGAATGGAAGTATCACGTCAAGCGGATAATACCGGCCATTCTCTTCTTTAACCGGCCAAACCAATCGCGGTTTGGCGCCTCTGCAAACTCACGTACGACATTGTCATAGTGGTCTGGGTTACTGGCCGGCCGGCGCAGCTTTTCCGGCATGGGGTATTTGCGCGCGTAGCGGTTGTTTAGCAGTGATTCAAGCGCATTCACAGAGGACTCGGAGATTGCTGGACCGGACTTGTCTGCTGACTTGAGACGCGATTCAATGTAGGACTGGACGGAGACTGAGGCTGGGCGGACTGCATCTGAGGGCCAGTGCTTGAGAAGGTGCGTAAGGCGGGTTTGGAGGGAGAGCGGATTAAGGGCCTGGATGATTTGTTAGGATTTGGATTGAACATTTGGGTCTTTTTGATGATATTGTGTGGGATTGGGATGTTAGATTAGATACTCACTGGTGTTCTCGCCATGGTGGAAAAGGGTCACAAGATAATTAATTGTACAGGGGAATGAATATCTTCAGAGATCTTTCGAAAGAGGCAAAGACGGGAACAGTCTATTTTCGCCTGACATATCAGGCATCCACAGCCACATCCATTCCTGTTGCCTTCTCATCAACCCCGACATTTTCCCATCCCCTTGTACTCTTGATATATCATTTTTGCATTCCAACCTAAGTCGTCTTTGTCTCATTTTACTTTCTGATTCTATTCAGGGTCGCTTCCCGCTCAGCTCGCTATGAGCTCGCAGCGCTATTCACGGGTACGCAATCCCCTCCGCTGATCCCCTATCAGAACAACCCCCGGATGAGACCCCACGGCAAAATACTGACATGTATATTCTAGGTGAATGCCCAAGATGAAGAGGAAGGACCACATTCCTATCCGCTGAACACGCGACCAGAACATAGTCACTCTTCACCTTCCTCTTTCCGTTCCGGGTCCCGCTCGTCGTCACCATCGTCGAGGCGGCTATTACACAGCGATCCGCAGCACGATGATGACGACCACACACTGGCCGATGCCTTTGGTGACGAAGATGAGTCCGACGACGATAATGAGCCAGATGACAGGCAGCGCTTGATGCGAGCCGACCCCGACTTCCGGGCTCCCCCGGATAATGGCTATACCGCCGCGGCGTCCTCGTCAGAGTCGATGGGCACTACACAAGATCAAGAGGCGCTTCTCAGGCGTCCCACGATGCTACCTAATTTTACGGCACCGTCTTCTGGAGCGAGTCGACAGATCGCTCCATCGAATGATGGAGTCTTTGCTAACCTTGCCGCCAAGCCAGAACGGGGTGAGAAGAACGATGATCTTCCTCCTGTAAGTCGATAATCGGTGGTTTTTTGATATTAAAAGACTTGTACACTGATATATTATTTAGTCATACGAAGAAGCTGCTGCTGATGCGACACCCCCGTACTGGGAGACCACCATTGTGGCTCCTGGTATCTCGTCCGACGAGGTCTATGTCGATGGACTGCCCGTTGGATCTGTTTTCTCATTTGTCTGGAACGCCATGATCTCAATGTCATTCCAGCTTGTTGGCTTCTTGCTGACCTATCTCCTTCACACCACCCATGCCGCAAAGAACGGCAGCCGAGCGGGTCTCGGTCTTACTCTTGTTCAATACGGCTTCTACATGAAAGGCGGCAGCGATAGTTCGGGGTCCGAAGGCGGAGGCGCAGAATATGTTCCTCCACCTGACCCCAACAGCCACAACTTTGACCCAAACTCGGTGGGTGAAAGCGGGGGCAGTGGAGGGAACGGCGCCATATCGGGGATTACCACCAGTGAATGGGTTTCATATATTCTAATGATTGTCGGTTGGTTCATTTTGATTCGTGCGGTCAGTGACTTCCTGCGGGCACGACGTCATGAGCAGCTTGTGTTGCAGAGTCCAGATCGTGGTCTAGGCGTACCAGTCATTGCAGAAGGTGAACGGTCCGAGACTGTTGTCTAATATCGGTATACATGGGATTTTCACTTGGTTTTTCTAGGACATGGACATGGAAATGTCAGGCGTTGCAGCATGGAGATTCTTTTGTATTGACACCCCCAGGAGTACTGCCTCCGGATTGCATTCCTTCAATTCTTTCTTTTCTTTTTATCAGACCATTCGCCTTTTATCTCTGGCCGTGTAGCTATTCCGAAGATACCAAATATATGAACAATGAACAATAGCTGTTGGAATATTTACGTTGAAGTCAATAGCCTACCTAGGTCGAGTCCTCCAGAATGCTGCTAACCACCTCAGCAGCTTCCGTAACCACAGCCCTAGTTTCCTCGTTAAATATCTCCTTGGTACCTAGAACCCGTAACCTCTCCTCCCACAATCCCCATCGCTCTCGCGTAAGCCCATCCTCTCTCGGCCACAGTTCCGTTGGATCATCCAACGCCGCCGCCCAGTCCCGCCGCAACTCATCATAGTCCGTCTCCCATAATGCCCGACCCCCATCCCGCATCCAGATCGCTGCTATCCGAACATCTAACTCCCACACCTGCTCCGACGACATCCTATGCGCTTTCGGTTGGCAGGACTGAGGTCCTTCACGCTCCAACACATCGCGACACGCATAGAAAACCCATATAGGATGCATCATACCTTTACCTTTAGGCGATTTCAGTAGCGCAGCCGAGAAGACGCAGAAGCGGAGAAAGTACTTGTCGCAACTACTACTTAACGCACTAACAGAGTTAACGCCAACACTTAAATCACGCACACCGTCCCAGTCACGCCAGGCCTCGAGGGTATCATGTACTTCGCGCCACTGCGCGCCGAACAGTGGTAGTGTCTGCCAGTGTAGCTTTCCGTCGGTCCCGATGTATTTGCGGAGGGCAGATTTTGCGCGTAGGTTAAGCTGTGTTGGAGGCTGCGCTTGGATGGCGTCGAGGAGGGTGATGTGAGTTTCGTATGATGGGGAGGTGGCGATGGATGTAAAAAAGGCATCCCAGAGCTCCCAGAGGGCGTGGGCCGGGGCCGAGGACGTTGTCACGGTGTTGACGAGGTGGTTGGCTGTTTCTTTTGGCGATGGCGCAGAAGAAATGTTGCTAGGGGTTAGATAGGATTGGATTGGCGTGGAGAAGGGATTTGGGGGGTTTGTGCCCGGGATATCCAAAATAGTTGTCATTTTGGATGTGGTTGAAGTTGGTGAGAATGTTTGATGATCATTCGTACATTTCTCTGGGCGTTTGTTGATCTCCAATAACGGCTAATTCCACATCGCGAATTCTACCTACAAAATATGTATACATACTCCGTACAGTAACCGGATTTCATGCCGCGCGAATTTCCTGGCCGCTTTATGTTGCTTAATGTCCTGAGTATTTCGCAGCACAGTAGATTGACCTTGAAGGCATTAGACTGCTTCTGGTGTGGAAGGGGAGATGGGATAGGAAAATGTTGAAGAAGCAATCATCTTTCAGATCCTTAGCTGGCACAATTCTACTGTGGCTCTTTGATTAAGAAAAGAAAAGAACCGAAGAGTTTACAGGTTCTACTTATCCATGTAATTCAGATTCATTTGATTGTACTCTCACAACACTTTGAATCAACTTCACATTCACCTCACCTCCCACCTCACCTCACCTCACCTCTCACCTCACCCCCCTACCAGAGCGTCAGATCTCAGAATACCCCCCATTTAACCGCCATCTTGAGATACTTGTATCGGATCCGATGCTCCGCCTCCACCGCAATCCAACAGGTCAGTGCGATCACGTCCGCGGTGAGGTTGCCAGCATCGGCTCCGATACAAATATCTTCAGACGCACGGTGATTGGGGGGTACAATCACATTGGAAGCTGCTGATTGGCAGCTCACTTTCAGCTTGCCAATCAGCTGCTTGCTCTTGTTAGGACCTTCAGATCTGACGCTCTTGGTATAGGAGGCCCAACGACCTTTTTCAAAGATCGCAATGACAGCATCGTCAGACTTTCGGACGAGCTATAATCACAATGTCAGCTAGAACAACATCGACGGGATAATAGGAGTCTTACCTTCAAGTCATGCGTGCAGCCCTTCACACCTTTCATCAGCCCACTTGAAAACATCCTCGTTCCAGACCATCGATACTGCACCCCATCTAGCTCCCAGTCAAAGTTGCGAGTGAAGAATCCCTTACTAACCTTGACCACCGCCACCTTTCCAAGGACTTCCTGCTCGTCTTCCAGTGGTTCCGTTGGCGGGTTTGGTTTCCACCAAATCATCTTCCTAATTATTGCCATCATCGCCGCCCTTCTTTTCGCTTTCGCCCGCGCCTCATTCTCCAATATCTCGGGTACGCCATCACCCACCTCCAGACAGAACGAGCGCCAGAAGCCTTTGCGAGTGGCGCGTCCGATGACCGTTGCGGTAGGTGTGTATTTGGGGTTATCTCCTCGGTAGAAGATTGGTTTCCAGGAGTAAAAGTGTCCATGGGGAATGCGGTTGACAATAAAGTACTCGGCGGGTGATGTATCAGAGGGGGCAAAGAGGTGCTTGACCCCTTCGCGAAGACGGCGATGACGGCGATAAAGGTACAGGATGGTTATCGTAGCATCACTCTGTTGTAGATCCGGGGCAGAAGAGTCCAGCACATGGCCTGGTGTTGATGTAGATATCAAGATCTCCGAATGGTCAGATTGAGACTGACCAGTATGGGTAGAAGTGTCTAGGACATGGTCTGGTGGTCCAGACATCACGGTCTTCGAAGGGTTAGATTGAGACTGACCAGTATGGGTAGAAGTGTCTAGGGCATGGTCTGGTGTTGGTTCAGACATCACGGTCTTGGAATGGTCAGATTGAGACTGACTTGGTGCAGACATCACGGTCTTCGAAGGGTTAGATTGAGACTGACCAGTATGGGTAGAAGTGTCTAGGATATGGTCTGGTGTTGGTGCAGACATCACAGTCTTGGAATGGTCAGATTGAGACTGACTTGGTGCAGACATCACGGTCTTCGAAGGGTTAGATTGAGACTGACCAGTATGGGTAGAAGTGTCTAGGATATGGTCTGGTGTTGGTGCAGACATCACAGTCTTGGAATGGTCAGATTGAGACTGACTAGTATGAGCAGAAGCGTCCAGGACATGGCCTGATGTTGGTGCAGACATCACGATCTTCGAATGGTCAGATTGAGACTGACCAATATGTGTGACGCGTTAGAAAAAAAGACGATGGAGATGGGGGTTCAAGCGGAGATGATGATGGAGATGGAGTTTCAAGAAGAGGAGAGGATAGAGATGGGTTCAAAAAGAGGAGATGATAGAGATGGAGGTTCAAGAGGAGAAGAAAGATGATGGAGATGGGTTCGGGAAGAGGGGATGATAGAGATGGAGGTTCAAGGGGAGAAGAAAGATTATTGAGATGGGTTCGAGAAGAGGAGATGATAGAGATGGAGTTTCAAGAAGAGGAGAGGATAGAGATGGGCTTAAGAGGAGGAGATGATAGAGATGGGTTCAAAAAGAGGAGATGATAGAGATGGAGGTTCAAGAGGAGAAGAAAGATGATGGAGATGGGTTCGGGAAGAGGAGAAAGATAGAGATGGAGGTTCAAGAAGAGAAGATTATGGAGATGGGTTCAAGAAGAGGGGATGATAGAGATGGAGGTTCAAGGGGAGAAGAAAGATTATTGAGATGGGTTCGAGAAGAGGAGATGATAGAGATGGAGGTTCAAGAAGAGAAGAAAGATGATGGAGGTGGGTTCAAGAAAGAAGATAACAGAGATGGGTATTTAAGTGTGAGAGAAATCGTGGGTGATGCTCCAGGAAAGATGGGATTTGGTCTCGAAGGTCAGTAGAAAGGCCAGCCAATCGCTACCACTGCGCATTCCGCCTTGCCAGTAAACATCCTATACTTCGAGAAAAGAGGATACTCTATTTTATGTTGTAGATACAAGATGTCTAGAAACTCCCACGCTTGAATAGGATAGAGCCTCCTCTGCCAGTCACTCACCCGTTGAAGTAGACATAGTGTTCATTCCACGCAATACGAGTAGGGGACACCAGTGACAGCTCCATACTTAGGCATCACACATCCAAGCAGTTCGGTTCGTAAATAGACACAATGTTCGTCTAGCAGTTCGAAATTCCGGTCACGACTGGACGGCCCCGGATTCTTTATAGATCTTCATGTACTGGTTGAAGAGTATTAAACTCATCAAGTCTAGGCCGGGAACTCCTAAGACCAAAGGCCCTGCTATCATTATCAGTGTGGTGTCAATCTGTTGCGCCACTATAATCGTAGCTCAACGAAACAGCTGGTGTAATTACTGAGTATGCATCTATACCCTTCCCGAGTATCCATTCACTGCTTTTGCTCATTAGGGAAAATATGGACCTAGCTGGCCAGAGCGTGATCCTAGGCTCAAGATAATTCTCGTGTGAATTACTTCTACGAGCTATTGAAACTTGTGAACGCTTGGAATAAGCTCAAATTCAACTTAGGATACACACTTACTGGCAGCGTGAGATTTTCTTATAAATGATATATGGAGCTGGCAAGGCTTATGAACAACGACTAGTAATGAACAAAATGAAAATATGTTAAGATAGAAATATAGTATAAATCGTATTTACTATGAGGTTGTGAAATAGTTTGATGATTAATAGGGTCGTGCTCAGTTCTACTCAGTAAGCAAAAGGCGGCATGGGATGAACACTAAAAGGGTAATCTATGTCGCGCCTAAAAAGTGTACAAGTTGTGCACTGTACAACGTATGTACCCTGTTGTACTCTGTAGATCCCAACCTAATGGAGGCCCAAAGTACTGCGCCACTATAGGCAGCATTCTATATTGCCCTTGATACTCCGTACTTGCATACCTTCAAAGAATTAAGGAACAGAAATAAAAGAAAATTGAAATAGTCCTTCCCGGCGGAATGACCAACTCCACCTACTGCCGAGAGACTTGTTTATTTACCAACCTTGACTCAACATAACCTCTCTGTTTGCACCTGCGTTTCATTTTGGGGTCGCGGCCTTGTCCGCAATGTCTACCGTCCTTCAGGGCCCCGTCGAGGCACGATCACTGTCGTCGGTCACCGCTATCGCATCGAATCCCCCCTCTTACCCACGAAATCCCACTCATGAGAAGCATGAACCACTGTCTCTGTACATTGTGCGTGTACCAGGAAGCAAAGGTATGATTCCTACTACATTGACCCTTTTGGATCTCTCTATTTTTGTCTTGGATGTCCCATGGTTGCGGCTTGTGCTTTAACCAGAGATAAACCATAACTAACTGCTTATATGTACAGACATTTTCCTCTCACCTCTAAAACCTCCGACCAAATCCAGTGTTTCTGCAGAAGCGATCAATGCCTCCCTTTACTATCTCCATGTCGCGACCCCCGAAGATGATACCCTACTCCAGGAAGTGGAGGAAGAGCGTGAAGAGGAGGCCAAATTGCGGAAGGAGCGCCTTGAGCAAGCGGGCGCTGACGACCCAGCACAACGCGAATTTGCACGACTGAACAATGTGCGCCGGAAACCAGTTGGTGGAGGAAGCCTTAACCCAGAGCCTTTGCTGGCGCCGCCTCAACAGGATGACACTGCTCCTCCGAGCTTACCTCCACGTCCGATCCCAATGCTGCAGGATGATACTCCTCCGGCCTTGCCAGCACGTCCAGTTCCTATGCCACAGGTTACTGCCGAGAACGTATCTTTCTCTGGGACTCCAGTTGCCAACATACAGCCTCCTTTAAGCAATAATATGACTGGAATATCGGTAGAATCGGGTGGTAGAAGCCCCGTACCGCGGCGACCTTTGCCTCCCTTGCCGCCTGGTGAAGAGTCATGGACCACTTCTGCAGCAGGCGAGGACCCGTCTAAGAGGACATCCCGATGGAGCGCGTTTGCCGAACATTTGCAAAATCGGGGAGAGAATTGGAAGGAAAAGTATGAGGCAAAGTACGAGGCGCTGTCGGCTGGCCGTCGCAGCCTTGACTCCTCTAGACCGCAATTGCGGCCTCGTTCCTCGCATGACCGTACCAAATCACCATTAGGAAGCCCCGGGCAATCCCCCAACCGGCATAGAAACGCACATCGCAACTCCGCTAGCAATGCTGGCTTTCATATCACGCTCATCCGACGTGATCCCGCGTCCGGTACACAATGGAATGTGGCAACTATATCAACCCCACGAATGGACCGCAATACCGTTGATATCGAGATCTCTACGCCGGGATATAACAGGTTCGCAGGCTCCAATGAGCTGCCTTCATTGTCCAGTCTGGCAGCCCATCTACCTCTGGGGATCGGACGCCTACCCAATTCTACCGTTCCCCAATCATTACCCACCGAGCAACAAAAGGAGCAGCCAACCGGCCCACGCAAATTTCACCGCCAGCTCTGCGTATCAAAGCCATATGACGACTCCGTTGCCGCAGACTCCAGCAATGGCCACGCCCCAGATGGCCCGTCTTCATCCTCCAAGCTAAAAAGCGGCTACTACGTCTTCACTTCTCCCTGGAATGGCACATGTACCTTCACGAACAGCGTGAACGGCCGAAGCCTCAAATGCAAACACATGATCCCAACACCCGGCGGCTTCGTCCCTCCCAACGGCGAGACAGAAGCACCCCCCGCCGTAACCGTCGCCGAGCTCCGCTTCAACACTCCCTTCCAAGCAGCAAACCTCCACGCCCACGCTCACCACGCAGCCCACAAACCCCACCCAAACCACCTCTCTCCCTTCACCCAGAGCCAAATCCAGTCTCTCCCCCGCCCAAACGATCCAAGCGAAAATAACCTTGGCCCAGACGGTGAACCCCTCCGCCCATCCTCTAGTAATAGCCACGCGGCTACGAAACGCAACTCCCTCTCCCAACTCCTCAATCCAAATACCTACGCCCGACCACGCGCACACACCGGCCCAGGTACACCCCCAAATATCCCGGCCTCACCCCCCGCAGATCGTCAAAACTTCCACCCCTCAACCCTCCTCCGCAGAACCTCTCTACGTGCACAACGCTTCGCCCGCCAGAGCCAGTTATACCCTACTCAATCCCATTCACACCGCAGTACGAGTAATAGCAGTGGTGGGGATGTGGATTATGATTCCGACGAGGATCGCCTGGATCTTTCTCTTGCAAGGGAGCCTGCTGGTGGTGGGTTAAGGGGGAAGAGTGCGAAACTGGGCAAGTTGGTTATTGAGGATGAGGGGATTAAAATGCTTGATTTGGTTGTTGCAGCTTGTATGGCTGTTTGGTGGAGGGGGTATTATTATTGAGATATATAGGTTTTGATACTCAAAATTCCGGCTTGCTTTATGAGGCTTGTCTACTAGATATAGTCCGTTATTTTCATAATAATATTGTATATGAATGCATGAACTTCATTTTGTCTGGTTTATTCCTTTATCTGGTTCTTGATGCTATTTCTGAGGCATTTAATAGATTGCTTGTGATGGCTTGTACAGCTAAATCACCTACCTGTGTCATGTACTTCTATGCCCGTGGAAACCATATCTATCATAAGATGCAAAATAGCCTCCAGGGCTCATAAATTTAGCCTGTCCTTATAACGTGTTAGTATGATAGGGCTGAAATTCCCTGTAGTCTGGCTCTCCACTCCTGGTAGACGATCAGCACTGATCTTCACGGTTCCGTGGTAACCACCTGGGCAGTATACGATATCATGTACTAAAACGACCTGCCAGACGGTGTGCATATGCCTATGCTCAAGCGTTGGATACTATATATACTACAGTTGACACGTTGCAAAAACAAGATCCAAACCAACACCTTCAATACATAACTCCCCAACTTTGTAGATCTCCAAATAGCTGAAAAGTGGATTCGTCGACAGCACGATTCGAATTCCGACCAATAGAATCTGTTATTGCACGTGATGTCCGAAAAGCGTAATCTGATTATATTCCCGAGGTCCAATTATATCTCGCAAAGGGGACCCCACCATATCTCCATAACGAACGATCTGTAAGCAAAAAAAAAAAATGGGTGCTTCTCTTTGATTGAGCGTGTCATCCTTAGTGCAGGGGCCATGCTAATCTTCTCTGTATATTTTCTGTTGACCGTATGCCCCGAAGGGCGAAAGGAGCTCTGTTAAAGCTCGTTATAACCCATGTTTGGGGCAGTATCGTACCGCCATTTGGTGGGCAGGTACGATCAGGCACGTGGGTTGGCACGTGGACACTTCCCGAGTCCAGGTACGGCTTTGTTTGTAATACCAAGTGGTATGAATGAAAGTAAACCGGTTTCTGGCCTTTAGGGATTAAAAGTTTGGAGGGATAGAGTTGAAATGATATTGAGAATAAATTGGCGTATTAGCTAGCAATCATGATTCATGATACGGCTGAATCCTCACAGAATCCAGCATAATGACTGTGTGACATTATGTGTTACGGAAAGTTACATTTGAGCTATGTGAAATGGATCATCCTTGACAAACACCCAGTGAGGGATAATTGACAATCTATCTAATGGTGAACCTACTTGAAAGAGATGCAATGCAGAGTAATGCCATAGCCAGACACAGGTATCATATCCAACCAGGAACCATTGGAAATAATCAGAGGCTTCAAACATGAACATGAAGGTCATATAAAAGGAGAATGGGAAACGCAGATACAAATCCAAGCCTGTGAAATCGGAGGGCGCAGTTAAAAATAGAAAATCCAAAGTGAGAGAAACCCCATGTAAATCGCCCCAGTCTTTTTTTGTTTCTCTGATGGTATCTCTTGGCTAAATTAGATCAACATGCAGGGCGCGATAGAAGACATCGGGTTCAACACGCCGAACAACCAACAAACGAGAAAAAAAAAACAGAAAGGTATCAACGGTGATGCACGTCCATGCCGCGCTGCAGCGAGGATTCCAAGTCATTGGGGTTGTAGCCACCGCCAGCGGTAGCCTCCTGAGGTCGAGGATCCTCAGTCTTCCAAGGACCCTGGTGGTTGTCCGGAATAGGGATGTTAGTCTGCTGAGCAATCTGCTGCTGCTGGGCAGAGTGGGCCTGCGATTGCTGGCGGACGGTAGCCCGGAAGCGGATGACCTCATCGAGGATCATCTTGCGCATGTCCGGGACTTCCTCGACGACCTCGAAGTGGAAGTCGAAGGTCTTGGCGCAGTTTGGCTCGTCCGAAGCGTCGTGCCAGATGTGCAGGTAGGGGTGCTCGAGGGCTTCCTCGACCGAGATACGAGACGACGGATCGAACGCCAACATGCGGTCTAGCAGGTCCAATGCGTCGGGGTTGGCTTGCGGGAATAGCTGCTTGAAGGCTACCTTCGGCATGAAGGGCAGGTTGCGCACGTATTCCTGGGCGCGGGGCGATCCAATGCGCGCCAGAGTCTCTTCATTGGGTGTACCCAGGTAGTGCAGGATCTGGTTCAGCTGGTCGACATAGTCACGACCCTTAAAGAAGGGTCGGCCGCCGAGGAGCTCAGCGAGGATACAACCCACGGACCAGACGTCGACTGCACATGTGGGGTTAGTGGGGATTCGGTGGCAAAGAAATTACGCATCACGGGTGTTACGTACTCGCTTTGGTATAGCTCTGGAAACTCAACATGATCTCGGGCGCGCGGTACCATCTGGTAGCAACGTATTCAGTCATGTATCCCGCGTTCTCCTCCGGATCGATCGAGAAACCACGAGCCAGGCCGAAATCGCAGATCTTAAGTTCGCAGTCCGCATTGACCAGCAGGTTACCAGGTTTGAGATCGCGGTGCAGAACGTTGGCCGAGTGGATGTACTTGAGACCACAGAGGATCTGGTAGATGAAGGATTGGAAGTGGGCATCGGTCAAAGGCTGGCCGGAACGGATGATAGCAGCCAGATCACATTCCATCAATTCTGCAGGACTGTTAGCCCAGCTCGATTCGACGCAAAGCAGCCAACCACCTACCCTCATAGAGATATGTTTCGTTAAAGTTGTCCGGTCGGGGAATATCCATATCGTATAGGCATGTGATCTAGAGGGCTGAGTTAGCGAGGACAGATATCGATAAGAATGTGCTTACATTGCGATGGCCACGGAAATGTTGCAGCAGCTTGATCTCTCGCAAAGCCCGCTTAGCCAGGATCTTCTTGCTGAAGACATTGGTGACCTTCTTGATAGCGACACCCTCGCCAGTCTGAACGTTGGTTGCAGCGCTTAAGTACTATCAGCACATGTATATCTCCGCATGGAATGGCACCTACCACACGATACCGTAGGCTCCCTGACCAAGCTCCTTTGTCACATTGTATTGCTCGCTCACGATAAAGTCCTGGTTGAAAACCTTGAAGACCTTGCGACCTTGTAAATCAGCCATGGTCGTACAAAAATTGAGAAGAAACGAGAGTCTAGATATAGAAGAGATAGAGAAAGAGAAAAAAGAGAGAAGGGAAAGGGGAGAGATGTGATGGGATTCAGCCCCGCAGTCCCCGCGGGTGATCCGCCACGCTACGAAAAATGTTGGAAATGAAAGAAAATCTTCTTGTTAGACTGATATTTTTAGTAGAAAACATATGGAAAAAATAATATATATAACAAAGAAACTCGAAACTCGAAATTTAAAATTCGAAATTCAAGACAAAGAGTAGAACAGGTGAAACCTGTTTAGATGTGTAATAGCGCCTACTCTCCAAGGCTAGCCCTGTGATATTCATTCCAACTTCAACTATCTCAAAACTATGTATCTCGCAGGTTCGGCTTTTTGTTTGAAGAGAAGGTCTCTTCCAGCCCGTTGGATAGGAAGCAATCAGCTCTTTATCTTCTCGCTCGTTGGGAGGTTTACAGAGTTCGATGAACAACTTGGCCATGAGAGCTAATTGCATAGCGTCCACAAGTGCATGATGGTTATGCCCTGCAAGGTAATGGCTTTCCCCGAAGAACAGCGGGAATACTACTGGGAGAGATAGGGGAAAACTCCCCCCTTGGAAGCAGTTTCTTCCCAGTATTCTCCTCATGTTCACCCGGTACTCCCGCAGTAGCAAGCAGACATTGTGATCTCCGGGTAGTACGTCGGAAACACATTCTTCCCGCAGCCAGTCTCTCAAGAAAGATAAATCGAAATACCAGGGTCCCCAAGACAGGGCCCTGGTCTTCTGGGAAATGCCTATCTCTCTGAGTTTTTTGGCGACCCCCTCTGCATCAAGGGTTCCATCCTGCGTAGAGTAGCTTCTGACCTTCTCTTTGAACATCTTTTGGGCCCAAGTTTCTTTTTTAGACTTGGAATGAGGGATTTCCTTCTTATACCTAGTCAGACAATCTAGGACTTTCGCCCCTTCAAAATCCGCCATGCCAATCTGTAACACTTCATGGGTAGAAAAATTGCACTCCAAGTCGATCTTAATCAACCTGGAAGCCGGGATCACTTTGACCGATTCCCTGATGATGCTTTCCATCAATTCTGTCGTCGGGCGCCATTGCTTGGAGCACGCTTGATCGAGCAGAGTTCTCAACTCTTTCCTACTTTTTTGGTCATAGTCTACAATGTCAGGCTTCCATGTGAGGAAGTGGTCATAACAGAATCGAGAGCCCTCCCACAGAAGGCGCACAGAACTCCCATGGCCACATGCTGTGTCTCCATCGGCTGCTTTCAGGGAAAAACTTCCTAGAAACTCGTTGAACTTGAAGCGCCCATTGCAGGGCACACATCGGCTTCTCAGTCCAACGTGGTTTGTCGGGCCGTCTTTATAGAAAACGCCCGTCTCGAACGAGATGATTGTGGATGATGGGCAGACCTGTGCACCAAGCACTAATCCCTCAACAACCCTTCCCGGCCCTATGCATTTAAGGCCGAGGTGGTGCAGGCGTGCAGCTCGAGCAACTAAAAACAACGGGAATTAACAATAGGACATGAGATACATAGTAATATCTTGATCTTACGTTTTCTAAGAGCGTTTTGCTCTTTGGGCGGCCTGCCCAGCCACGCAGCTGCCGACTCCGTGATCGGTTCTTCATCCTCAATTTCATCTTCTTCCGCATTCGCAACTTCGTCGGGCTCATCCAAATCTTCGTCGGGTTCATCCAAATCTTCGTCTATGGGTTCCTCGGGCTTTGACAAAGGTTCCTTCTCCGTTTCAACATTTTCGTCCGAGAGCGAAGAGACCTATTGTTCCCATTAAATGATGTTCATTCGTTCGTTGCCACTTACCTCTAAGGTTGGTATTCCCCATCCTGAAACTGTCCAGGCCGGACGTGCAGATTGTAATGGGCCAATGAATTCAATCGTGACTGTTTTCTACCCTGTCGATGTCCAATACATGGATCGTATTGACACACCCACTTGGGCTTGGACACGTGTTCATCCATGTGTTCTTTCGCATCATATACTGACGCAAACAGTCTCTTGCAGCCATATTTTTCAGCATGTCTGCAGGGCCAAAGAGCCCTCATGTGACTGCCTAAATAATGCCTTTCTTGGCCAAGTATGTTTTGGTGCAACCTGGATCCGGGCATGTCCACTTGCCATCAACAAAGAGCAGCTTTGGAGGCTTCTCCCACCCAGGTATAACCTTTCAACGTCCCTGAGTGGGGTGTATTTTTGAACCGCAGGCCATGCTGGAATAATTGGCTCATCTGGCTCATATTTGCCATGTTTCGCCTTAGCATGTACTCTCGCATTGCTATCGTTAGCGAACATTCTAGGGCAGTTTTCTTCGCGCGCTCGTGGGCAAGGGCACACTTTGCGAGTTGACTTATCACTGTGAGCGGTCCTTTTGTGACGGTTGGCATTGGATTCGTTGGTGAATTCCATTGTGCATCTCTCCTTTTCCGCCATGGGACAGGGACATTTGATTCCCTCGTGCAGCTCTCTGCCATGTCGATCTGCGTTTTGTTGCGTGGAGAAGGTCCTCTTGCACCCTGCCTTATCTTTTAATGGGCAGGGGAATCCCTCCGACGCTCTTGAGGAGCTACCAGCATCCTCGTCACTATGAGCCCTCGTTTCGTGCCTTTCTGCCGCCTGTTTGGAAGCGAACATATCGGTGCATCCTGTCTGCTCCGCCTTAGGACAGGACCATTTTTTTTTCGCTGTGCACCTCCTCCGCAGGCTTATTTGCGTTCCCTTGCGAGGAAAACATCTTGTTGCAGTTAAACTCATCTGCGCGCGGACAGGGTCGTGGGACTTTATTGTGCACCCTTCTGAGATGATCGTTTGCATTCTGGTTCGAGGCAAACCTCGCCTCACAACCAAGCTCATCTGCGCGCGGGCATGCGAAAGGCTTTTTCTCCATAGATGCGTTGATGAGGTTGGGGTAGATGAAGATGTCGAGACTTCAGCAAGATGAGCAGGAGGATGGTATGAGGTCTGAAGTTGATTAATGGGTATATGGAGCTATCCATAAATCTAGGAACTGATTGGCGTACTTCGTCTCTACAGAGGAAGTAGAAGGAGAAGGGGATGGTGATGATTTAGCTACTGCTATGGTTCTCCTTGTATGCTTCATGTGGACAAAGGGATGTCTAACGCATTGTGAGCAAGCAAATAAGACATTGCTGCCTTTATATGTGAGTGTCTTAATATGCATTGAAAGAGATAGAGAAAGAGGATGCGGTGGTGAACCTACAAACACATGGCCATCGTCATCTCAATAGAAGATGTAATGGCCTGGGTGGTATAAAAGTGTGAAGAGAGATCTACGGAGAGGCCCAGGTGTCTCAGACCTATGAGACAAAACATGCAAGCAGATCTTTAAGCCTTGTTTCCTTCTAGGAGCTCAAACATAAATATTCTCCGCTATATGAAGTTATTGGATTGTGATAGAGACTTGGTTATATAGGGTTGATGAGGGAAAGTAGGGCTAATAGCAATACTACTAAGTATAGGGACCAAAAGGGCAGAAATTTTGAAAAAAAGAACAAAGGGTAGGCTAGACTTCAAATATGCCCATTTTAGATAGAAAGATATCAATCTACCCAAGCTGTGTCTGCTTTAAGGGTACCGCGTTCCACTTAATCCAGACCCTAATTACTCTACTACATTAAGTATATATTAGATAAGTAAAATCAGTAGAATATCCGCATGTAACTTCATTTCACTTTTCGTAAATCGGGTACGAATATACCCACTACAGAGTGTTTTCCAACCGACGCTCCTTGCGCAATGCCCGGAGCTTGACCCGTGCCTCCTCCAGAGGAACCATCACGCCCTTGCTTTGGGTCGAAGGATCATCACGGTTGCGAATGTTGACGGTGCGTGCTTCCTTCTCCTGAGCACCTACAACAAAGATGAAGTTGTACTGAGCCAACTGACCAGTACGGATCTTCTTCTGCAGGGTGTTACCGCTGAGGTCCACGTCGGCGTTCAACTTGTCACCCTGCATGATACGCTGCACCTCCTCGGCGTAGTCATTCAGAGCAGGCATCACAGGCACAATGAGGATCTGGCGCGGACTGATCCAGAACGGCCACTTGCCACCAAAGTGCTCAATCAGGATACCCAGGAATCGCTCGAAACTGCCAATAATAGCACGGTGAATGACAACAGGGCGGGCACGGCCGGGGGGTAGCCCGTCGGAGTTGGTCTCTCCCTCCTTCGCACCCTCCTCGGTGTTCTTCTCCTGCTTTTCGTTGGTCTGATACTCCATTTTGAAGTTCACCGCAGCCTGGTAGTCCAGCTGGATGGTCGCGCATTGGAATTCACGCTGGAGAGCATCCGCAATGGTGATGTCGATCTTGGGTCCGTAGAAGGCGCCGTCACCCTCGTCAATGGTCCAATCATTGCCCTTAAACTTGGTCAAGGCCTCCTTGAGCTGGTCCTCGGCGTGGTTCCAGGTCTCCAAGGCACCCATATATTTCTCAGGGCGGGTAGACAGTTTCAACTTGAAGGTGAAGCCAAACAGCCCATAGATGGATTGCAAGAAATCGAACAGACCCTCAACCTCGGACATGATTTGATCACGAGAGCAAATCACGTGACAATCATCCTGTTGAAACTTACGTACTCGAGTTAAACCACTCAAGGCACCCGAAGCCTCATTCCGGTGCAGGACGCCGAAGTCCGCAAGACGCATAGGAAGTTCGCGGTAACTACGTTCACGGTGGCCGAACAGAACGAAGTGTCCAGGGCAGTTCATGGGCTTGAGAGCCCACTCGCGCTTCTCCACATCCAACTTGAACATATCATCCTTGTAGTGGGCCCAGTGTCCAGAGGTCTTCCAGATACCAACGTCATACATGTTGGGGGTCTGGACCTCCTGGTAACCTCGTTTGCGGTATTCACTGCGCAGAAGAGACTGGATCTGGTTCACAATCTTGGTTCCGTTGGGGAGAAGGAATGGGCAACCAGGGGACACCTCATCGAAGAAGAATAGCTCTTGTTCCTTGCCAATTCTCAAGTGGTTGCGCTTCTCGGCTTCTTCCAGGAACTTCAAGTGCTCAGCCATTTGCTTCTTGTCTGGGAAGGCGACACCACGAATACGCTGCAGCGAGTCATTGGACTGGTCGCCAAGGAAGTAGGCAGATGAGTTCTGGGAGTAAAAGTCAGTATGGGTCTTCCTCGATGAATTGGTCAAACAGCCACGCTTACCTGCATGATCTTGAAGGCCTTGATCTTGCCGGTGTTCTGAATGTGAGGACCACGGCAGAGATCGACAAGGGTACCGCAACGGTAGACGGTGCTACTCTCGCCAGTAACGAGCTTGTCAATGTAGTGCAGCTTGTATTTGCTGTATGCGAACATCTTTTTGAGGTTCTCCTTGGAAACCTCCAATCGGTCGAAGCTTTGCTTCTCTTTGAAGATTCGCGACGCCTTAGTGTCAAGCGCCTTCCAGTCAGCCTCCTTGACAACCCGTCTGTTTTCCCAGTATTAGCATTGGCGCAATTTTGAATGGTAGATGACAAGTTGACATACCCGTCGGGCATGGCCATATCGTAGAAGAAACCCTGAGGGGTGGGCGGTCCATGGGACAGCTGGCATTTGTAGAAACACTCACATGCCTCACCCAGGGTGTGAGCACTGGAGTGCCAGAATACCTCACGGGCTTCGGGGTTGCTGAAAGGCACAAGAAGCACACTGCAGTCCTTCTCGAGAGGCCGGTTCAAATCCCACAACTCTCCATCAACCTTAGCGATAACAATATTGGCGCTGAGATCCTTGGGAACGTCACGCAGGAAAGATCCAGGAGTGGTCTCGAAGGCTTTGGCGGGGACCGAGGAGGGGGGGTTGCCGTCGCCAATGTCGAGGGTAACGTTGATCTCTGGGTGGGGACGGTTCTTGGTCTCCTCGAGATATTGTTGCCAGAGTTCCTCGAAGAGCTTGTTTCGCTCGATCATGACCTCCGGGAGGGTATCGGGGTTCTGGTCCTGCTTAGATTTCGCATTCGCATCTTTTGGAGGGGCAGCGGCGGCTTCAGAGGCGGGTTCGGCCTGTGCATCAGCGGCAGGCCGCACAGGGAGATCCTTGGGAGTTTCAGATGCCATTTTAAAACCCCCTGGAGCAATAATACAAGGGAATTGGACTGCGAGCAAGAACTCTGATCGTGGTATGCTCCGCGTGGAGGGGAAAATGACTCTTATGAGGGCGGTGAAGTAAAGTCACGTGCTGGTACTGCCCTTAGCCGACACTTTACCGCTTCAGGTTTCCACCGAGCGAAAACTTCTCCAGCTTTGTACAAGCCGTCAATAACCCTTATCACCACAAAATGTCTTTCCGTGGTCGTGGTAACGCTTCTGGCGCCAACCGGGGAGGTTTCGGTGGTGGCCGCGGTGGTGAGAATTTTCCAACGCGAGTGCGATGTGAGAAGTTAAAAGGAGCTAACGAAAATTTTTTGGTTGCAGGTCGCGGAGGCTTCCAGCAGTCATTCGGCCCCCCAGCTCAGGTTCTGGGTAATTATTTCTCTGAAATTTACAACGATTGATTCATCTCGCTGATATTCTGATAGAGTTGGGTTCCGTGATGCACTCTTGCGAGGGTGAGATGGTCTGCGAGTCGGTCAACCCCAAGATTCCTTACTTCAACGCTCCTATCTACCTGGAGAACAAGGTACGCCGTTACTCCACCAAACGAATATAATCTGAAGTCCATAACCTAACTGGTTTTTATAGACTCAAATTGGCAAGGTCGACGAAATCCTCGGTCCCATTAACCAGGTCTACTTCACCGTCAAGCCCCAGGACGGTATCGTCGCCACTTCTTTCAAGGCTGGTGACAAGGTCTACATTGGTGGAGATAAGCTGCTTCCTCTCGAGAAGTACGATTCGCTGTTCTATTCATCCGTCTATCCTCTAACTAACTCACTTTTTAGGTTCCTCCCCAAGCCCAAGCCTCCTCCAGGAGCTGCTAAGCCCAAGCGCGCCGGCGGTGGTGCTGC